CTCCCCTCTTCTCCTCCCCACAGCATCTCTATCATCCTGACTGTCTTAGTACTCACTCTATAGACCAGGAAGTTGTGACCCTCCTGCCTCCTCAGGCATAAGCCCCTATACCTAACTCTTTCCTTTTTCCTGTGCTCATATCCCCTTAGTTTGGAAGCTTGGAGGAGGAGTCAAGCACCCAGGGAACAGTCTTGGGTGAAGTACCATTGAACAACTTAGGTGGGAATTTTAAATACTGTGTTCATTAAATTTGCAGGTAGAAACTGCATGAAAACGCCCGATTAAATATTTATAATGGTTTCAATAAAGCAGAAAATTAGGTAAAAACGTCCAAGAAGTTAAACTATAATAAGTGTAGAGTTTGATAAATCTATTCCACATTCCTTAATGGGAAATTTGACTTACCAAGATCCAATGTAGGCTTGGCTGTAGCTCAGTTGGTAGAGGGCTTCGCTAGCATGATGAAGCCCTTGGTTCACCTAACAACCCAGAAACACTCCTGGCAAGCACTCCTGGTGATCCATGCCCACAGCTCCAGAACTCAGGAGGTTGAAAGCAGAGGATCGAGTCAGGCACACAGGGACTTCAAGGCTAGCCTGAGCTACGAGGCCCTGTCTCTTTTTGTTTGTTCCTTTGTTTGTTTTTGAGACAGGGTCTCACTGTGCAGCCCTGGCTGTACTGGAACTCACTATGTAGATGAGGCTGGCCTCGAACTCAGCCTCCCAAATGCTGGGATTAAAGGAATGCACTACTATGCCACCTGAGACCCTGTCTGGGGGGAAAAAAGTACTTGGATAATGCATAATTCTATCAAGTTTTTTCTTTCTTTGTGGACATATATTTTAAAATATTTTACTTATTTGGTGTGGGGCTGAGGCACAAATGTGCCATGGCCCCAGTGTGGACAGCTTTCAGGAGTCGGTTCTCTCCTCCACCACATGGATCCCAGAGACCCAGTTGAGGTGCCCAGTCTTGGCAGCAGGCACCTTCAATGACCAAGCATCTCAGCCCCTGTAGTAGCACCTGTGATAACATGGTTGGTTCTCATCACTAAGTCTATGATTTGTAGATTTCATTTCTTACCTGACATCAAGCAGTCCCCGGGGCTGAACTCCATTAAATCCTTGGTTGGGTGTGGAGAGTGTAACAGGCAGAGTCTCGGCCACACGGGCAGGAGGCTCTGGACTCAGTCGTTAGCACTAGAAACACACAAAGTCCATCCATGGTTTCATATTGGCCCCAAATGCATGTCATTGGATTTTGGAATTGCTTTTTTCTGAATTAAGGAAGTGGGAGAATTCTATGTGGCCTGAAGTGGATGTCTTCTGGGGGTTGCAGCTTGGGATAGCATGTGTGTAGCCTTGCCTCTGTAGCGCAGAACATGTTTCTTTTCAATATTTATAAAATTCACTATGAGGGAAGGGAATAATAAAACAATGAGGCAACAGGATAGGAATGTTGGCGTTTGTTTCACTGTTAGTAGATGAAATTTTGTCTCAAGTTTGGAATAAAATTGGAAAATCGTTGTCAAACCATACTGTAACTAACTTTTAATAGTGACTAAGACTCACAGTCACCGCCCGGAATTATGTAAATGAACCTGCTGGTGGATAGAAAGGGATGGAGGAGATTAATTGGTGACATTTAAAACGCCCACACACCAGGATTTGTACAGCTTTGATCAATTTAGCAGAAAGAACACCTGAGAGGAAATATTAGGTAATTTGTGGGTGTGTCATATGTGTAAATATAAGTCGATTTTCACAGGATTTTTATGTGTGTTGTATGTAGGTGCCCACAGATATGTGCCTAGATGTGTGCGTGTGTAGAAGCCAGAGGTCAGTGTCAGGAGCCCTCTCGATAGCTTCCCATCTGGTTTTTGAGACAGGGTCTCTTACAGGTTCTGTTACCCTGGCTGACCAGAGAGCCCCAGGGGTCACATCCTGCTTCTGCTCACCCAGTCCTGGGTTATAAACACAAGCCTCTGTGTCTGGCTTCCATGTGGGTGCCAGGGATCCCAATGAGGGGTCTCAGTTAGGGTTCCTATTGCTATGAAGAGACACCATGAGCATGGCAACTCTTATAAAAGAAGAACATTTAATTAGGGTGACTTACATCCAGAAGTTTGGTCCATTGTCATCATGGTGTGACAAGGTGGCACACAGGCAGACATGGTGCTGGAGAAGGAGCCTAGTGTCCTATGTCTTGACTTGTAGGCAACAGAAAATGGCTTCAGACACTGGCTGTAACGTTAGCATACATGAGACCTCAAAGCCTGTCTCCACAGTGACACACTTCCTCCAACAAGGCCACACCCACTCTTACAAAGCCACACCTCCTAATAGTATCACTCCCTTGGGGGACCATTTTCTTCCAAACTGCCGCACAAGGGTCACGCGCTTTAGTAGCATAGACTTTACCATCTCCCCATCCTGCTTCCACATTTCTTACCCCTGTGAGCACATCCACAGCCCTAGCTCTGCAGAAGTCACATTATCCAAGCAGGCACAGCCTACTCACTCTGTATTCTCTCTCATTAATCTTCCATTTATCTCCAAAATGACTTCTTTCAGAAATTCTCTCCCCGTTCTTACAGGAAATCGATAATTTGATGGATACATAAACATCTTTTCCTGGAGGCTGAAGAGAGCAGGGTCAGGAGCTGACCTCTGGCCACTCTGGCCACCTTTGATAGCCACGTCATGAAAGCAGTGGAGGAGGGTTGACGACATTCTCTGCGTCCCTCCTCTGCTCATGTGTGTGTCCCCGGGCTGTGGGGATGGGGGAAGGACTCGACAAGGACGGCATGGAGACAAAGCCTACTCCATTTCTAAACGTCCTGACTGATCCCCACAAAGTACCCCAGCACACCGTTCTATCGTCAAATGACAGAAGTGAATAGAATGTTCAGAAAAGAAGGGCCGCGTCTGTGGCCAGAGAAAGCCAGGAGAAGAGTTTGTTAAAGAGCCAGATTTTAAGTATTTATTTCCATCAACCCTTAGGCCAGCACTGTAAAAATGAGAAGAAATCCTCTCAGAACAGACTGAAGGGTCTGTGCTGTGGTCCCAGCAGCTAGCTCTTCACGGCTTCCTTCCATTGTCCTCCAAGCTCTGTAATAAAATTAAGATTTCAGTCTTTCCACGATTCTCCCTCCCTCCCTCCCCCTCCCTCCCTCCGTCCCTCCGTCCCTCCGTCCCTCCGTCCCTCCGTCCCTCCGTCCCTCCCTCCCTCCGTCCCTCCCTCCCTCCCTCCCTCTCTCGTCCCACCCAAACATCTTTGAGACATTATCTCATCTATTCCAGGCTGGCCTGTGGCTCAGCTCCCCGTTCTTGAGGGTGACCTTCGCACCGTGCTGCCCCCACTTCCAGAGTGCTGAGGTCACAGGTATGTGCCACCAGGCCAGTTTTATGAAGTGACGAGTCAACCTGGGGCTTTGTGCTAGCAATCGCCCTATTGACTGAGCTACATTCTCAGGCCCCTTCCTACCGCCCCCTTTCTGTCTGTCTGTGCACGTATGTGTGTGCGTGTGTGCACACGTGTGTGGAGGCCAGGGGTTGACATTAGGTACCTTTCTGAGTCGCTCTCCAGCTCTTGCACTAAACCTGAGGCTCACTGACTCAGTTATACCGGCTGGCAGCCGGCCGGAAGGATTCTCCTGCCCGTGCCTCCCCGGCGCTGGTATCACATTCCTGTGATACCAGCAGGCTTTTTTTTTTAGATACAGATGCTGGGATTGGAACTCAGGTAGGTCTTCCTGCTTAGCACAAGGACCTGCATAAAGCTTCAAGATCCAATGGCACTGACAAAACTAAACAATAAAATAAAAGCCAAACTCTAGGAGTGCTATGAGCATGTTGCCCGATTGCTGCTACTGTAAATAGTTACCGGTAAAGAACAAAAATAAAGAAAGAAAACAGTGTGGACAGCAGCAATAAGCTGTGTGCTGTCTTGTTACGTACAGCCACTTGTAGGCCCTGGATCTCCGCGCCGTGCCAAACCTACCTGAGTTTATCTAACTCCACAGAACCAAGCAGCGACCCGAGGGCTTGGGCAGACACACTGACTTTTTTTTTTTTCCTAATTAACTCACCACCATTCC